AGGAAGTCACCCAATTGCTAAACAGAATGGCATCTGAAGAAGTGGAGCACGCTGCTGGGTTGTCGGTGTTTTTTTCGGCAAATCATGGCTTAACGCAGGGGTCGGCAAACTTAAATATTCAAACAGTCATTTGGACCTGTTTCCCACAGAAAAGAAAACACCGGGAGCCACAAAGGTCCTAACCGGAAGCCCCCTGTTCAATTCTGGGGCCAATCGGTTCCCCCCACCATAGAGTCTCCTCCTAGCGCGGCGTACTTTTTCCTCTACCTGTCCTAACCGAAAGCCCTATCAATTGTGGAGACAACTGGAACCCCCTCCCCTTGCCATAGAGTCTTCTCCTGGCGCACTGTGCTTCTCTCTCTTCCCCCTCCCACCGGAAGCGCCTCTCAAAATTGTGGCACCAACCTGTGACGGAGCCGCAGCAGAGGGAGGAAAGAGCCACATGTGGCTCCGGAGCCGCAGTTTGCTGAGCCCTGGCTTAACGCAATGGGATTGCCAAAACCGGGTGGGGGGTGGGGGGGCTGAATGTGAATTTTGATCCCAGGGGGAATGCTGCAAAGGACCGTAAGTGTGGGAAACGGTCGTAAGTCACTTTTTTTCCCAGTGCCGTTGCGACGTTGAATGGTCACTCAATGAATTGGTGTAAATTGAGGGCTAACCTCTTATTTATTGATCCATCCTGTAGCAATCTTATCTACAAAGGAAAGGGTCCATTATTTGTGCCAAATATAATCAAATGGACATTTCTAGCGACCTTTTTGTTTTGACCGCAAGAGGAAAGGATCCTGGCTGGGGGGGAGGGGGGGATTGCAGATTAACAGAGCTATCAGAGTTGGAAGGGACCTTGGAGGTCTTCTAGTCCAACCCCCCACCCCACCCAAGCAGGAGACCCTACACCATTTCTGACAGAGGGAAGTCCAGTCTCTTCTTGAAAGCTTCCAGGGATGAAGCTCCCACAACTTCTGCATAATAGAATAACAGAGTTGGAAGGGACCTTGGAGGTCATCTGGTGCAACCCCCTGCCCAAGCAGGAGACCCTACATCATTTCTGACAGAGGGCAGTCCAGGCCCCTCTTGAAAGCCTCCAGGGATGAAGCTCCCACCACTTCCGAAGGCAACTTCTGTTGATGTTCTCCCTGTCAGGAAATTCCTCCTTATTTCCAGGTTGAATCTTTCCTTGGTCAGTTTCCATCCATTCTTCCTTCTCTGGCCTTCAAAAGTGCTTTGGAAAATAGCTTGACCCTTTGATCTCTGTGGACATAGAAATACTTGTTTCTATGGATGGAATTTCTTGTGAGTTTTATCCAGTGGAACAGAGAGATTGGAGAGGTGCGTTTTGACTGCACAATCATCAAAACATGTGCTTGTAAAGTGTCGATGACTCGGCGCATGTTTCCAACTGCCAAGGTTTTCTCCTGATATCTGGAAATAATTTATGGGGCCATCTTATTTTCAAAGACTTTAAAAACAACGCAGGAAGTCCTCCAACTTAGGATTTAAATTTTGCAGCCCCCCCAAACTTCTGTCACTAAGTGAAACATTTGTCCAGTGATTTTTTCCCCATTTCGACGGCCTTTCTTGCCACCGTTGTTAAGGGAATCTCTGCTGTTGTTAAGCGAGTAACGTCGTTCTTAAGTGAATCTGGATTCCCCGTTGATTTTCCTTGTCGGAAGATCGCAGAAGGGAAATCACATGACACTGGGATGCGCCGACCGTCATTAATGTGGATCAGTTGCCAAGGGTCTGGATTTTGAGCCTTTGATCGTGAGGAGGCTGCAACGGTCGTAAGGTGGTCACTTGGAGCGGTCGCTAAATGAATTGTTTATAAATCGAGGGCTACCTGTACACAAGTTGTATAAAGGTTGCTATTGAGCCTCCTGTATTTCAAAGTTATTTCTACGAATCCTTTCGGTATGGGGTCCAATGTCCACTTTTCCAGCTGTTTTTATTCATTTTGTTTCTGAATCATACTGGACTGTGGATGTTTTTATCCTTGCATTCTTGTATAATCGCTGAGATCCTATGGGATTGTTGCAAGGAATGAATGGATGAATAAATGGATTTCCAACCCACATTAATTACGAATAACCTACATACCCAACATATCTTTCTCCTCCCATTCTCCCTCGCAGCAACAACCTTGTGAATTGGGTTGGACTGAGAGTGTGGCTGGCCTAAAGTCACCCAGCCAGCTTTCATGGCTAAGGTGGGACTAGAACTCACCGTCTCCTCCTGATTGGCCCAAAGTTACCCATCCGGCTTTCATGGCTAAGGCGGGACTAGAACTCACTGTCTCCTGGTGATTGGCCCAAAGTCATCCAGTTGAGTTTAATGCCTAAGGCAGGACTAGAACTCACCGTCTCCTGGTGATTGGTCCAAAGTCACCCATCCGGCCCTCATGGCTAAGGCGGGACTAGAACTCACCGTCTCCTGCTGATTGATCCAAGGTCACCCATCTGGCTTTCATGGTTAAGGCGGGACTAGAACTCACTGTCTCCTGGTGATTGGCCCAAAGTCATCCAGTTGAGTTTAATGCCTAAGGCAGGACTAGAACTCACCGTCTCCTGGTGATTGGTCCAAAGTCACCCATCCGGCCCTCATGGCTAAGGCGGGACTAGAACTCACCGTCTCCTGCTGATTGATCCAAGGTCACCCATCTGGCTTTCATGGTTAAGGCGGGACTAGAACTCACTGTCTCCTGGTGATTGGTCCAAGGTCACCCATCCGGCTTTCATGGCTAAGGCGGGACTAGAACTCACTGTCTCCTGGTGATTGGTCCAAGGTCACCCGTCCGGCTTTCATGGCTAAGGCGGGACTTGAACTCATTGTCTCCTTGTGATTGGTCCAAGGTCACCCATCCGGCTTTCATGGCTAAGGCGGGACTAGAACTCACTGTCTCCTGGTGATTGGTCCAAGGTCACCCATCCAGCTTTCATGGCTAAGGCGGGACTAGAACTCACTGTCTCCTGGTGATTGGTCCAAGGTCACCCATCCAGCTTTCATGGTTAAAGTGGGACTAGAACTCACTGTCTCCTGGTGATTGGTCCAAGGTCACCCATCCAGCTTTCATGGTTAAAGT